GTGTCCTTTCTGTGCAGCAACAGCAATGATCTGCCTCCCTTCCACCTCCATCACCTCCTCTCTCTCCCCTTTTCCCCAGTTCACTTCCACTTCTTACCCTGTCAAAATCCTTCACGGCAAAAGGAAGGAGGCACCACTGTTGGCTTAGTTGGAGGATCTGTGCACGCCATCCGTGCCAAAGGGTAACTGGCAAGAGGTGGCTTTAAAACGCAGGAGGATAAGCCGAAGGAGGAGAGGTGGGGGCGGGCAAGGGAAGAGTCACTTTCATTTGTATAGACTAGAGTGAATCATTCTTCCAGTCAGAAAAAAAATCTACCTGTGGGCTGTGCGGAGTCCAGTGCCGCTTCTCTGTACTTCGTCTTCACCCCCCTGCTTCCCAATCTGCTTTCTGCACTGGCAGCCACCCCCTTTTTTAACAAGCCTCTCACAGGGTGGTGGGGAGGGGGAGGGGAGACCCTCATGGTCGTGTTAACAATGTCTAGGTGAGGGGACCCATATTAGTCTTGTTCCAGCACTTAATCCTCTTGGCGGCCCTGGACATAAGGTGTAAAAGTGATACAAATTTTTAAAAATCATGTTCTTTTAGTATGTGTTAAGTATATTTTCCTATATATTTATATAATAAAGCATTTTTGTCATACTGGTCAAATGTGTCACATCTGATTGCTACTATCCCATAGAAAGGACTAATAATTCATGATTTTCAAGTGAAATGATAGAAGAGTTTTGTGCTAATCTGTTACTGATCATTTACTTATTTTCTTACTTACTTACTAATCTTCTATGTTTCCTCTCTCACTGAGGCAACAAAATCCAGATCCCATTGATTTCAGTGGAATTTGCTGTTAACTGTATTTGTACTCTTTTTGATATTGACAGAAACACTCTATAGACAAATATCAGCTAATATTTGCTATATTTTTACTGAACTATTTCTGTTGTTTATCTTCTGGGTTGTCAAATGTCACAAAATGTCTCGAATTCTGCTTATTTTTTTCTTTTTTTCTTTTGTCTGTATATTTGCTGAGAAAATATGTCCCAGGAGGGACTATGTTTGACGATTTAGATACTCTGAACATGTTATCTAAACATATTACTGCAGTTTCACAGTCCTGATTGCAGGAGCAGTTACATTTCCCTGTAGTCTAGTTAACAAACAACTTGAAACAAGGTATATTTACATAACCCAGGAGAAGTCCAAAGCAGAATCTAGATCTTGTACATTATATCTTCCCTTTCTTCCAGATGAAGCTGTTTATTCAGTAGATAGTTATTTTTATTTGATTGACCCCTCCCCCCCCCTTTTTTTTTTTGCCGTGGAAATCAAATTAGACAAGATTTCTTAGAAATATCTTGGTTAGGAAAACTTCAATTATATTGCATTGGGTACCTGCTTTGGCATTCAGTTTTTTTCACATTTTTTTTTACTCTCATTGTTTTTATTTTCAAGATTTTGTTTTTGTTATTCAGGAAGGGTTTGATGAGAGTTCATTTCATTTTACGTGAGATGAAGTTTTTCAGAAATCTTTTTAAAAGAAAGCTGTGCTAAATATTTAGACAGCCTTGATGAACACATTTATTTTAAAAAAATGCAGGGAATTATAATGTTTATTTTCAGTATTTGGTTGTCAATCCAAATCCTTGAAGGTACAAAAAATGGGTTTGGAGGCAACTCAAGATAGATTGTCGTTGTCTGTTCCTAATTTAATCTATAGTGTAGATTAAGAGCAGTGGTGAGTAAGTGCTTTTGTTTTTATCCAGTATTTTGTACTCTTAAGATTTACTTTGCCATGTAGACATCATAATCTTCAAATCTGGATTTGAATGCTTTTAAAAATATTAATTAAAAATATTTTTATGAAAGAATGCTACATTGTGCTACAACAACACCCAAAATCAATAAGGGTTATAGTTTTAAATGCAAAGACCTATTGAATTTTATGGTCTTTTCTTAGAAGAAGAAAATGTTATAGAATTCAACTATTAGTTTTAGATTTTCAGATATTTGCTCAGCTTTTCTTTGTAGAAACGTTTAGATTCTAACCCGATAGTGATATGGGTGAAGATAATTCAAATGCAGTAGCTTAAAATAAGTTTGGAAGAGAACAAATGTGTACTTGATTAAAAGTCATCAACCATATGTTAAATCCATCCAGGGAATACTAAACTTTTCACTACGAGTTTAATTGTGTTTGGCAAAATGAGAATTATTAGGGTTTTCACATTTTCTTTACAACATTCTGTTTTAGCTGTCCTGTCTGCTTTCCCTGTGACCTTAATGCTAGTAATAATAATGAAAAAAAGTAAAGGCAACATGTGGCCAAGTAGGCTCATTACTATTGAGAAACAGACTTCAAGTTTCCCCTTAGTTGGAAATCATTTGCAGAAATTAATATCCTTCCAAGGATCATGGATCATATAGATAATCCTGAAGTTATGACAATAGGGAATGGAATTTCCGTCACCATTCAATGCAGTCGTAAAGCATAACTTAAGTAAAAAAAGAAAAAAACCAAAAAAAATATCTGAGTCTATAACAAATAACAGGGAGATTTGGAAACAGGGTTAAGAAACAGGCCCAGTAACTGAATTTACAGCTAGCTAGTATCTTACAGCTTGTAGTGTTGGGATTCCTCACAATCATCCAATTTCTTTAAAATAATTATTAGTTTTTACTATAGTTCTGGGCTTCTTTTTATCAACCTGTATTATAGTCTCCCCTTCTATTCGTTTTATCACCACACCCGTATATTATTTATGATCTCAGACCAACAAATACAACTACAAAATCATTTAAAATACAAGAATTCCCCATGCTAGCTGGGGAATTTTGGGAATTGAACACCACAAGTCTTAAAGTTGCCAGGGTTCGACACCCCTGGTCTAGACTGATATACACACATGTAAACACACATGCCCATATCCACTTTCAGTCTTTATTACAATATGAAATATTTAATGTGATTCAGTTATACAAATAAGATACTTCTTTTAAAGCTCTGAATTTTAAGGATAATTGGATATATTTGTATATTTTTCTCCTGAATAAATTATTAGAAATACCAAAAGATGTGTTCTTTAACCATTTATCTTTAAGGAAAAATTGCTCTTTGGAAAAGAGCATGTTGTTTAAAGCAAATACAGTTTTCCAATAAGTGCATGTTCTCTAGCTCTGATTTCTAGTTTTTGTCAGAAGATAAAAAGTGCCTTTTGAACTAATATTAAAAAAGAATGGTAGTGAATACAAGTTGCAGAAATTCAGATTTTTTAAAAACCACGAATAATCCCCAATGACATAGTGTCTGTTTAAACAATCTGTTTAAACTGTCTGCTTAAACCACAAATATACTATGTAATGGCTAACACATAAAAAAACTAATGCCTTCAGAAGACCTTTAGCAGTCTCCTTTTTCCCCAGTTAAGTGTCCAGCCTACTACTTTTAGAGATACCAGTTGAAAAATACTGCTATAGTTTAAGAAGTACAAGAAAGCAGATAAAGGCAGAATTGTTCCAGCTTCTCTGTTTATAGGATCAGGCTTCTCCTTCCTAAGTGCAGCCTCACTGGATAGACTACAGTAGACCAGGAAACAACCCTGCAGGAAGATTAAAAAGATTAAAACTATTTTTATTCAGATTAGCTATAATAATAGAATCTTCCTATTGCACTGTACTTCATCTTCTTTCTTATACTCCAGTGATTCAAGGAGGTGTCTGCCTGATCTGCTTCTGAATATTATGTTGTTTTTCGGGACTTAAAAATGTTTCAGCTCCCTTTGTATGAGTAACAGTTATTGCATATTTCTGTCGGGATCACCTTCCTTACTCTGGGTAAAAGCACGACAGTTCTGCTACTGGTGGAAGACATGCCATTGGTGGGGTGACCAAAAGGAGATTGCTGTACTTGGGGAGTCACATCCTGTTTGCTAAAGGAACATTGAAATCAATGAATGAGGGATTGCTTTTTTGCTTGACTTTCTATAATTTCAGGTTGCAAACTAATCAATATCTACATAATCACAGTCACTCAGACTTCAGTTTAAAGTGCTGCTTTTTAACGCTACATCAGTTATTTAGCAAAACATATCTGCATGATGTTATATGTTATAATCTGAATTATTATTCATTATTCATTTTATTTATTTGTAAAATTTACCTCAGGGTAACTATGAGTGGCTTACAATTGTAAAAGATAAAAACTATATTAAAACATAAATAAGTCGGTACAAAAAGTTAAACAGTGCAGCGCAATTAAAAGATGGGAAGGCCAAGAGCAGAATAGAGGGGACGTGGGATAACTAGACTGGTAGAGCCAGGTCTTTAAGCGCTTATGGAAGGTCACCAGTGTTGGAGCCGACCTCACTCCGCGAAGTATTTTCCAGTGGACAAGTGCAATGGCAGAGAGAGCCCCTTTCCTGGGCCCCCACCAGCCAGAATAATAGGACAGGCTGCAACATGACTCTTCTGCTGAACTGGCATGCATTACAAAGACCTGACCGAGGAGAAGAGATGGCTAGTCTTTCGCAACTCTGTTCTTTTCATGTTGCAGCCAGGCTAAAGTTGAAGGGTGGGAAAGTGATATGGATTCCATCTCTCTAGTTTAAAGTTACATCTGATCTTTTGAAAAATTGTAAATACTTGAGGGTGCTGTATTTTGGTAGCTGGGATAGTGAAGAGTATACAGCATCTGCTCACTGTATAACAGTGTCTTTTGATCTGGTGTAGCATTGGATTTCCTGGACTATTTGTTTTGGGATATTTCAGGGCCCGTAAAATAATCCAAAAATTATATATATAAAATTATATGTATAAAAATTGTGGATAGGTTGATGGCAGCTGCAAATATATATAGAATAGCTAATTAATAGCTGCAAACTACAGAAATTATGATCAAATCAAAACAATAGGGAGGTTTTATACTGATCTCTAAAATCCTAGTCAAGATCGAGCCTAACTATCTGCTAGTGTACCTTTCCCGCAATAAACCTGCGTGTCTCCTCAGATCAACTGGAGAAACTCTTTTGAAGATAAGGAGGATCTGGAGATTTGTCTGTCCAGTACATGGGAAATGGCTCTTACTGATGCCCTCCATCAGTAGTCTACATTCTCTTAAGAATTACCCTTGGTTGTCCCCATCACCAAAAGGTTGGTGAAAATATTTTATTACTGTCAGACTTTTAATTGTTAATTTATTCTATTTAATTCTTGCTTTTTCCAGATTTTAGTTATATTATTTTAAATACACTTTTATATTTGTATTGTTGAAAGCTTCTTTTATTGCCAGAGGGATAGACTAGTGTAGAAATCAAACAATCAGTCAACCAACCAGTGCTTTTCGTCTTTCCATTCAAGGCTTTTTGAGGAAACAGGCAGTGTTTAAAGAAAGTATCAGTGGACAAAATTGTAGAGTTCATGGGTGTTGAATTAATTTGGAATAAACTCTTGGTAAGTCTTGGAAACCAAATATCCCATCATGTTAGAGCTGAGGTCTCAAATTCAGTTGCTGTGTTCTGATGGTAAAAATTAAATGAGAGAATATCTGCTTCTATTGTGCATTAACTCAGCATGATTATGCCTTCTTATCAACTCCTAACTAGGTTTTATTTTGTAGTACTGGTTTGAGGAGAAAAAGAATAATAGTTTCAGATGACAGTAAAAACGATTTCCAATACTCACCTTATAGGAAACAACTGCATCCACTGTCTAAATCATTTTGAATGTGGACATGCTTATACCTTTTCTATATATGTATTTAGCAGAAACAAGCAATTTGGTGATGAGATTCTCAGTATAAAGTAATTGTGTAGCTACAAATTGTCCTTTGGCTGTTTTTGAATGAGGGTCCCATCACATGGAAATTAAAAAAAAACACATCATGTTGAATGTTCTGTTCAGTATTTAATATCTGAAAAGGCTTAACAATTGAACCAACTTTGTGCCAAAGTTGCTCTTCAATATTCCAAATTTTAATTTGATTATGAAAAAAGTATTTTCCTTTCTCATTTTCAGAATGTATTTTTAGATGTATTTTCAGAATGTCTTTGAGATGTAGTACTGATAGCAGAGGATGCTTTTGCATTTGTTACAGGGCTCTCTATAACTCTGCAGCCTCCTGTTTTCAAAAGGAATATGTTTGCTCACTTCATTTGGAATTTGAGGCTCCATGAAAGAGAGGCTTCAGTCAGTTGAGGAGAAAAGTGAGGACACTCACACATAGTCTGCAGTGACTTGTTAAAAAAGGTAAGGGAAAGAATTCCAGGTCACCCATCTCTTCTACCACATTCATCACTTGCCAAGATACATGATCTGTAGCCATTTTTAATTTTCTGCAGCAAAAGCAAGAATTCGGGCACCTTAAAGAGTATTTGATTTATTATAATATACACTTTTGTATGGTATGTAAGAAGTTTGGAAAAGTAGTAGGTCCTTATTTGATTGCATGCTACTTCCAGGCCCTAATTCAGCCTAATATGGTATTTCTGTAAATGTAAGTCTACACACTTGAAGCAAGAAAAAGCAAATTTTAATAGAAAAAATAATTTTTATACATTTATTTTAGTATAAATGAATCATGAATGAAGCTATATTTAATTTCTTTTAAAAGTTCTATTAATTTCCAATCCTTTTTCCTACCCTGCATTAATTCTTTTTCATAATGTTGCTATAGTAAGTTGTTTTCAGGTTTCACTTTAAAATAAAATGAACATTTATTTCAATGTAGAGTCCTAAAGGTTTTTGTCCTTAGTTTAGCTGTGCTCCAATATTACTAGAAAATACGGATTTTAAAAGAAAACACAGTTTTGTTAAATGGGAAGTGTACATTGAGTAAAAGGCTGAAAGGAGCTTTGTCCTGCAGCACTTGTCTGAAATGCTTTAAAGTGATACAAAAATGCTTTTTGGAGGTAAATCACACCATATATTTTATATTTTTATTTATAAATAAAATTCATTTCCATTCATGGCACAAATACCTTTTATGATAACTTTTTTGCATAAGTCTAATTAAGTGATCAGGATTTCATACAATTATTAATGATTAGAGCATATTAGAAAAGGCTTTACAAAATTAAGTTTGGTTTTTCTATTCCTTTATTCAAGATTGCCAGTATGTTTTCAATAATGAAGCGTTGAGATGACATTCTAACTGAGCTTTTTACCATGGTCATTATCAAGATCTTTGTTGTTTAATTTAATTTTTTTTAATAACACTTAATTTTATGCTTGCTTATATTGAATACCACTCCCAATTTTAAGCATGTGCCTTCATTTTTAAAATGTTACTCTGGAATGTAACCTGAACCCTTTATATGTAATTGCTGTAGATAATTTGGAACCTTGAACGAAGTGTCCCTAACTTGAACTTACGTATTTTATTTATCCTTATTTGTATACCACCTCTTCTTATGATTCAATCTGTTTACAAGATTTCTAATATAAACTTTTCATTAACTCTAAGAAGGTACCTTTTATTACCCCATAATTGCTAGGCTTGATGCCACATATGAATGAATATATGAGCAACAATATCATATATTATAATACTGAATTTGCTGTCAAAAAGGATGCTTGAAGCTTCTGTCATATCTTGATTCAATGATACTCTTAATAGAGAAATCTAAAAGTACCGTATATACTCGAGTATAAGTCGACCCGAATATAAGCCGAGGCACCTAATTTTACGCAAAAAAACTGGGAAAACTTATTGACTCGAGTATAAGCCGAGGGTGGGAAATGCAGCAGCTACTGGTAAATTTCAAAAATAAAAATAATTAATTTGGGAAACGATCTCACTATCATGAAAGGTTTAATTGATTCACTAACCCAAAAGAAGAAGATGATGATGACAGCGGGAGGCAGGAGTCACTCTCTTCCCCTCCCTCGGAGGCCCCCTGAGTCAGGAGTCACTACTGCCGGCGCAGCCCCAGTCCCGCCGCCTCGGGAAGGGAAAGGCAAAGCGCTTTTTGCCTTTCCCTTCCCGGCTGGGGCTGTTGGGAGTCGCTGCCGCCGGAG